TTAACCTTGTTAGCAATGACTAGATTTGGGTGAATTGGGAAAAAAAGATTAACGTGATTTAAAAAAAATAAAGTAAATTCATTTCCTCCATAAACAATTTTTCCCCAAATTGGACACATTATTAGAAATCGTTTATTATAAATTCTTTATTTTTTGTACTGTGTAGTTGTTTATGTAGCAATTCAGCTTCAATGCACTCTTAAAGAGACACTTCATCACAGCAAACACTAGAATTCCCAGTGGTGTTGGCCGATAGAGGGATCGATAGCACCACTTCCTCGGTCATGTGACAGTGTCCAGCAGGGGCGGACTGACAACTCATGGGGCCCCCCCGGGCAATAGGGGATCATGGGGCCCCTGTGTCCTTGCCCAAACTCAAAAAAGCCTATGAAAAAGGTACCAGGGGCATCTCATGGGGCCCCCTACTGACCCCGGGCCCTCGGGCAGTGCCCGAGTTTCCAAATGGTCAGTCCGCCTCTGGTGCCCAGGCTTGAGGTATATGTGAACTCTTACCTTGTAAAACAACCCATTCAGCAAAATGTTTATATACCATTATAAATACCTTATTTAATCCTATTATACGTGATCATATCATCTCTGTTCTTAGCTGCATAAGGGGCTTGGAGGGGTGGGGATGAAGAAATAGCAGCACACTGATCTTGCCATCAAATGGCTGTGCAAAGGGGGCGTGTCAGCACAAGTTTGACCATTGAAGGACAGGCAGGTTGTGCTCCCAGCACAGCCAGAAAACTGCCCATACTGGGATGGATGTGCACTCATGCCTAGCATGGTCAGTTTGAAATAGTAAAGCAGGGAAACTGGCAGGATCACCAGCTATTTTACACAAAGAAAGTAATACAAAGAGAACAGGATACTTTTTAAACACAAGTACATGGTACAACAGACTCATATCAGGAATATGAAATGTTAGGGTAACATACAGTATACTTTAATATTTGGCTACTAAGCCTGGGCACTGTCAGGTGGAATGATGTCACATGCTCACTGACTACTATACAGGAGTAGTGAGGAGGTGCTGGTATGGTGAGAATTAGTCTGTCAAAGGAGCCCTTTGCTCTGAATATGGACTTTAACCGCTTGCCCGCTGCCCTATAGTAAAACTACTGCTACAGGGCGGCAGGGCTGCGTAAAATCACGTATATATATGTGATTTGCATTTTTGTGCTGCCATTGGCGGCTAGGGATGTTAATCACCAGGTCCCGGCCCAGAGATTCCCCACTGGCACCCGGCGATAGCCGTGTAAAGCTGACAGGGGAGAGACCTGTGTGTAAACAACACAGGTCTTTCTCCTGCCGGCAAGGACATGCTGCTTTGTATTTCTCTGCACAGCAGAGAAATACAAAGCAGCATGTGTCTCCGTAGTAAAATAGCACACAATGTGAAAACACACACCACACACAGTTAACACTTTGATTGCCCAAAAGTTAACCCCTTCCTGCCCAGTGTCATTATTACAGTGTCCGTGCTTTTTATTAGCACTGATCGCTGTATTAGTGTCACTGGGGATGTCAGTGGCAGTTAGTCAGTACCCCCTCAGTGGCAGGATGCCCACCGCAGTCCTGCTGATTGCCACCATTACTAGCATAAAAAATATAAATAAAAATTCCAGTATCTATACCACCAATTGTAAACGCTGTAACTTTCACGTAAACCAACTAATTTACACGTATTGCGATTATTTTTTTAGCAAAGACATGTAGCAGAATACATTTTGGCCTAAATTTATGATGAAATTATATTTACATTTTTTTATTGCAAACTTTTTATAACAAAAAGTCAAAAATATAGTTTTTTTTCCAAGATTGTCAGTCTTTTATAAAAACACACAGGTGATCAAATACCACAGAAAGAAAGCTCTATTTGTTGGAAAAAAAGGACGTACATTTCATTTGGGTGCAGCATTGCATGACCGTGCAATTGTCAGTTAAAGTAACGCAGCGCCGTATTGCAAAAAATGGCCTGGTCAGGAAGGGGGGTAAACCCTCTGGAGGGCAAGTGGTTAAAGTGTACCTGTGCACATGGACATTAAACTATTTACTTAGTTGAAGCAAGCAGTAACATTATCCCAGAGAGGGGCTTTAACTTAAAACTTTTTTTTTTTAGATTTGGGTTGAGTGGTGAGATGTTAGGATCCAAGTCAGCAGTCACTAAGCTCTGGGGAAAATCCCTTTCAAAGTGCAACTTCCCTTGAAAAGTGAACAGCCTTTTTGTCTTTAGTAAATCAACCCAACCCTCTCGAATTGTCTTGATAACCAAAGTCAGTGGGAATGAAAATGACGGTAAATCCAAAATTCTAAGTTCCCACCAGAACTGAACTAGAATGGAAATCTTCCAAGGGGGACACTTGCTCCAGTAAAACTGTCTAACGCCAGGTTCACACCTATGAAGTTTGCGTTTGATCCATTTCTGCAGTGCTTTTTTGTGGTGCATTTTTGCACATGCGTTTTATTTCCACGTTTTGTGGATTTTTAAGTTTTATTTTTTTTTCTTGTTGCTAGGCAAATTCATGCAAAATGCAGCAAAAACACACTGCGTGCTTTTCTGCAGCATCTCCATTGAAGTCTATAGAACCAAAAGCGCAATGTTTTGCATTTTAAAAAAGTCCCTGACCCTTTCCAAAAACGAACTGGGTGAAAATGTGGAGATGGGAACGTGTCCCATAGGAAATTATGTTAAATGGACTGTACTGCTTTGGGCAAAATGTAACACACTAGACTAAGGCCCGGTTCACACTACAGTAGTGCAGACCATGTCCCTTAAATTACTCAGTGAACATGAAACATGTAACATGGGGTCACTTTCTATGGACCAGTTATTGTTTTGAGATACAGATCACCGGTCCTCTTCACTTCTGGGAAGTCTGAGATCTGTCACCTGAACCCCCAGCTCTGCTTTGCACATGGGTCATATGGAGACTCCAACCTGGAGACCTGTCAGAGGCATTTAGTTCATCTTGAAAGGCCTCCCAAGTTTCCAGTTAAGGGACCCAAAATATCAAATTATCTGGGGCAGAGCCATTAGGTGTGAAAATCATCACCCACATTATTGTCCCTCAGGAGCACCAGGTATCCATCAACCTGGCAGAGCAAAATTAACTAGCGACGGTACAAAACTCCTTACCAGTGTCTGCCCAATCTACTCCATCCAGATGAAGCCAGGTTCCAGCTACTCCATAATGTAATCAAGGGGACATTCCCAAACTCAAGTGATATTAATACTTGTGAGCTAATATGGTGAAATATAAGTGATCAATTAATCAAATAATTTACCAATACATGCACATGTGGTTCGCTAGCTCCTTACACCAACTCATAAATAGTGCCACAGCATACAAAAATTATATTATTAATGAATAATAATATTTAGTGCTGCGCTCCCGTGCTAAATTAATTATATAAAAAAATTGCAACAGTGATTATCGGTTCATAATCAAACTATATACTCAAAAACATATTAAAATAACAAAAACTATATAATAGCCTTGATGCAAACAATTTCTGTGTTAAATGAACAGTCCTCTTGATAAATCCAAAAACTTGTGTCACCAAATGGAGAAAAACACCGATGAATATTAATATATATTGCGCTCACCTCCAATTTTTGCCTAAATATATAAATAGGCAAAAAACACTTTTTGTCCTGACAGGACAGATGAGAACTACTCCTGCTTCAGATCTCCCACTCAGCCGGTTGCACGATGTTGTATGCTAATGATCCACCTGGTGTCTCTCCACAATGTTGCTTAATAAGATGGATATGGAAGGATTCCTCACTCTCACCTCCAGGGGTCTATTTGTCTATATATCCCCTCCAGAACTCCACATAATGGTATCAAAAAGGAAACGAGAAATAGTGTCTTATCCTTTTAAACATTTTAATAATCAAATGAGCAATTGCACTCACATTAAAAACAATCAAAATGCGATTGTGATAAATGCCTTTGTGTGTGGTCTTCACACTAACAATACTCGCCGTTAGCTGGCCGACAACGTGGTGACTTCAGAGTCCCTCCCCTACGCGTTACGCCACAGGGTCATGTGGCTTCATCAGGGTGATATGATTAGTAATCATAGTAATCATATCCCCCTGATGAAGCCACATGACCCTGTGGCGTAACGCGCAGGGGAGGGACTCTGAAGTCACCACGTTGACGGCCAGCTAACGGCGAGTATTGTTAGTGTGAAGACCACACACAAAGGCATTTATCACAATCGCATTTTGATTGTTTTTAATGTGAGTGCAATTGCTCATTTGATTATTAAAATGTTTAAAAGGATAAGACACTATTTCTCGTTTTCTTTTTGATACCATTATGTGGAGTTCTGTAGGGGATATATAGACAAATAGACCCTGGAGGTGAGAGTGAGGAATCCTTCCATATCCATCTTATTAAGCAGCATTGTGGAGAGACACCAGGTGGATCATTAGCATACAACAACGTGCAACCGGCTGAGTGGGAGATCTGAAGCAGGAGTAGTTCTCATCTGTCCTGTCAGGACAAAAAGTGTTTTTTGCCTATTTATATATTAGGCAAAAATTGGAGGTGAGCGCAATATATATTAATATTCATCGGTGTTTTTCTCCATTTGGTGACACGAGTTTTTGGATTTATCAAGAGGACTGTTCATTTAACACAGAAATTGTTTGCATCAAGGCTAATATATAGTTTTTGTTATTTTAATATGTTTTTGAGTATATAGTTTGATTATGAACCGATAATCACTGTTGCAAGTTTTTTTATATAATTAATTTAGCACGGGAGCGCAGCACTAAATATTATTATTCATTAATAATATAATTTTTTTTTGACATTCCCAAACTGATCCATATACTAGTGTGATCCCCTCTAGTGTCCAGGACCCAATCCGTACCGGAGCAGTGGATCTTGGCACCTGTAGGCCTGCAGCCAATGTTTACTGTACTGGAGGGCACTCTGGAACTACACATCCCAGAAAGCTGGACCAACAGAGGATTGTAGGAGAATCCAGGGGCGGACTGACAACTCATGGGGCCCCTGGGCAATAGGGGATCATGGGGCCCCTGTGTCTTTGCCCAAACTCAAAAAAGCATATGAAAAAGGTACCAGGGGCATCTCATGGGGCCCCCTAGTGACCCCGGGCCCTCGGGCAGCACCCGAGTTTCCAAATGGTCTGTCCGCCCCTGGGAGAATCTATATATTCAATTGTTTCTGGGGGATTCGCTCTCTTGGCCTGGGGACATCAGAGAGGATGGAGGCTGCCATTCTGCTTCCAGTCTCAGAGGGACTCAGGCGGTTTTTGAAATACTCAGAAAAGCCCGGCTTAAGTCACTTAAATCCCCTTTCTTCCCCATTCTGATGCTCGGTTTGAACTTCAGCAAGATGTCTTCACCACATCTACATTCCTAGAGTTGCCACCATGTGATTGACTGATTAGCAGTTTTTGTTACCAAGCAATTGAACAGGTGAATCTAATAGAGTGGCCAGTGAGTGTGAGGGCCAGTTCACACTCTAGAAACGCAGTCTGGATGCATTTTTGTATGTGCTTTTTTACGCGTTTTGGCACGTGCTGGTGCGTTTTTGCATGCGCAGTTTTGACACGTTTTTGGTATGTTCCAGTGCGTTTTTTGATGCGTTCCAATTGTTTATGCATTCCAATTCATTTTTCCCCTCGTTTTCTTCAATTTAAATAGGGACATGTACATTTCAGTGAGTTTTTTATGTGTTTTACCACGTTCCAGTACAGTTCTGTGCAAAAATGCAGCCTGTTCTACTTTTTTTCTTGCAACCGGAATGCACTGGGACTGCAAGCACTGATGTGAACTGTGAGATTGACAACCATATAACCTACTTTCTGCGCGGTTTGGTTGCAGAAAAAAGCAACTGAAACAAATGTAGTGTGAACTGCTCCTAAGTCTGCTAGTGGATCTAACACTACCCTCTTCCCAGACCGACAATGCCGCAGTCCAAAAGGTGTCTCTGTTGCCCCTCCATCCACATTGGAGACACCCTAAGGCTAGGTTCATTCCTATGCAGGTTGTGTTTGAACCGTTTCTGCATTGCATTTTGTACCTGAGTTTTTGACATGTTTTTGCTGCGTTTTTGCTTTTTTTTCTTTTCATTTTTTAAAAACATTTTCTTGCTGCTAGGCAGATTTAAAACGCATAACGCATCAAAAACACACTACATGCTTCTCTGCAGCATTTCCATTGAAGTCTATAGAACCAAAAAAAGCAAACATTTTGCATTCAAAAAAGTCCCTGACCCTTTCCAAAAAGCACACCAGGTGAAAATGCAGAGATGTGAACATGTCCCATAGGAAATCATGTTAAATGGACTGCACTGCGTTTCTGCAAAATGCTTTGGAAAATGCTTAGGTGGGAACCTAAAGTAAGCCAGGAAGTGTGTTACTTGTGGGATCACCAGGTGAAAATAAAGAAAAGGGGAAACAAAGACTAAAAAACTAAGGCAGCCATCCACCCATTGCATTATGTTTTTGTTTTGGGCAGGGGCGGACTGACAACTCATGGGGCCCCCGGGCAATAGGGGATCATGGGGCCCCTGTGTCCTTGCCCAAACTCAAAAAAGCCTATGAAAAAGGTACCAGGGGCATCTCATGGGGCCCCCTACTGACCCTGGGCCCTCGGGCAGTGCCCGAGTTTCCAAATGATCAGTCCGCCCCTGATTTTGGGGGTTAATTCTGCTTTAAGGCTTTCATTTTATGGGCTTTTTACTGCCTGATAATTTGATTTATTCAGTCTAGAAAATTAACAAACTAGACATAAGTGTTTCCAGCATAAAAAGGTGTATTGGATCTTTAAATGAGGTGGCTGCTTGAAAATTCTTTTTAAACCTGTTACTGTAAAAGCTCACTTTAAAAGCTTCTGCAGCTTTCAAGATGTTCCATCCATCAAAGCTACGCTAATGTTATTTTGAGAATAAAAAAGAAAATGCAGATTTGTAACAGGAGTTTTATATAACCCAACAGACAGGCTTAAAATAAATCACATTAAAGCCATAATGAAAAAATGATGGAAGCTGCCTTCTGAAATGCTAGCCTCCTGGCTGTCTGTGGTTTCGGTACGGAGTCCCTGGCTTCGAACAGGCATGCGGGTCAGAAAATCAGACAAAAACCAGTGAGAATAAGTCCTCATGCACACTGGACATTTTTACAGCGGTTGTTTTTGCCTTTTTTTTTCTACAGCCAGTAAACTCCCCCAGCATGTTATCCTATGTGTCCATACACACACAGGCTTTAACCTCCCTAGTGGTCTGATTATGTCCATATTTCTGTGCTCAAAGCGGTACATTTTTTTTGCATGGAAAAATGTAGTTATTTTATTGTAGGCCTGTAATTTGTAGGAATAACTCACTGAAATCTGTCCAAACAAGAGTCTAGTAAACATCCCGGGGATGATAAAATTTGAAACACGAAATCATAAATTATAATTTAATAAATAATCCTAAAAAATAATAATATATTAATAATAAATTTAATTCAATAATTTAATCAAACCAAAAACACTGACATTTGAAATATAGCGCCAAGTTCGCACATCACTGAGCAAAGTCGCAAAATCGTTTTCAGTGTCTGATGATGAATTTCCCCCACGAAACATTATCACTCAATTCTGCAAGTGGTTCTGATTTACTATCGCTGTTCTCTAGCTGGTCTAAAACCGATTTTGACCTAAAGGGATGCTTTTTGGACGCCATGGACATTTCTCAGTTTCCAGGCAGAAAGAACAGTAAAAATGCAGGCAGGGCACAGGACAAAGCACTCGGGACAAAATGTATGTGAAATGGTTTGATACAGTAATGTTTTACTATGTGATTTTAGTGAAATTCACTTTTAAAATTTTCAAATTTCCCGCCGTTCCATCCCCGTACGTCCCGATGTCGCAGGGGACGGAACCCAGAAAACAGATGCCAGCATCGGCCGGAGGACATTGCCGGGGACACTGCAGGAGGGACATCGCGGGAGTGCAGGACAAGGTAAGTGAAGAAGAGATCCCAGAGCAACGCTGCATGGCATCCCTGAGTGTAGCTCGGGGTTACCGCTTGTGGTGCTGAAACTTTACCCCGAGCTACACTCGGGAATACCTCCAGGGAGGTTAATCAATGATTTTGGCTGGGATGTTTTTTGGCTGGAAAAAAAAAAAAAAAACACAGAACTAGTGGGTTTCTAGAGGATTTTTTTAGCTGTAAAAATGCTCTAACGCTGTAAAACGCAGTAAAATGCGGTAAAACACGGCAAACTGGCATCTTTGCGCTAACAAACGCAAACACAAAAAAAAGCAGCTAAAAGCCAAGAGATGCTGTAAAACTCATGTTTTTAACATGAATATAGACAGCTAACCAGGATTATTAAAATGCCAAGTGTGCATGCAGCCTAATGAAGTCCATACATGGGTCGAATACAAAACGATTTTTCATCAGAATATCGAAAACGTTGTTCGTTCAGTAATCCAATGGTGCCATCAATGATTTAAAAAAATCGACCGACCAAGTCATAAAGTTCACCCATATAACAGGTGAAACCTCTGTTCCTTCCAGGTCACGGCAATTCTTTTCGGAAAAAAACGATCGTATGGTTTGCATGGAGTCGAAAAGCTGTTCTTTTTCCCTGAATTTTCCAACATGCCTGATCACCAAAAAGGGGAGGAACCACGAAAATCGGCAGGTGCCATTGACCCACCAACAGAGCGAAAATCAGCCAACTATTTGGATGAAAAATCAGTCAAATTTTGACCCATGTATGGCCGGCATAAGTCCTCATGCACACGGGACGTTTTTATAGCGGCTGTTTTTGGCTTTTGGCGCTTTTTTCTACAGCCAGTAAACTCCCCAGCATGTTATCCTATGTGTCCATGAACACACAGACTGTAATCAGCGTTTTTTGGCTGGGGCATTTCTTGGCTGGAACCCCCCCCGAACTAGTGGGTTTCTAGAGGAGTTTTTTTTTTGCTGTAAAAGTACTGTAACACTGAAAAACGCACTAAAACGCTGCAAAGCAGCTTTTTTGGACTTTTTTGAGCAAAATAAAAATTTTCTGCAGAATTTTGCAGAAACGCGGTACAGTCCGTTTAACATGATTTCCTATGGGACATGTTCACACCTGTGCGGTTTTTTTTGGAAAGGGTCAGGGACGTTTTTGAAAAAGTTGCGTTTTTGTTTCTATATACTTCAATGGAAACGCTGCAGTCTAGACTGTAATCAGCATTTTTTGGCTGGAAAAAACCCCCAGGACTAGTGGGTTTCTAGAGGAGTATTTTTAGCTGTAAAAATGCCCTAACACTGAACAACGCAGTAAAATGCAGCAAAGCGACATTTTTGGACTTTTTTGAGCAAAATAAAAATTTTCTGCAGCATTTTGCATTTTGCAGAAGTGCGGTACAGTCCATTTAACATCATTTCCTATGGGACATGTTCACACCTGTGCGTTTTTTTTTTAAAAAAGGGTCAGGGACTTTTTTGAAAAAGTAGCTTTTTTGTTTCAATGGTAACTGCAGAAAAGCACATATTGCATTTTTGCTGCTTTTTGATGCGTTTTGCAATTTAAATCTGCCTGGCAACAAAAATAAAAAAATAAATGAAAAAAACCCCAAAAAAACGCAAAATGCATAAAAAAAACGCTTGTGCAAAAAGCGCAATGCAGAAATGGCTCAAACGCAACCTGCATAGGTGAGAACCTAGCCTTAAGGTGGGAATACACGATTAGAAAATCGACTGATCGGTCATCCGACGAAGTTAGTTGTTGGTCGAAATCGTGGCCCACATTAACCAATCTAAAGAAATAATTCATCGGGCAATACGTAGAGTTGACATCTTCTGTACAAGTGGAAGTGATGCAGTGTGCGTGTGATCTTGTAGCCACGCCCTTCCGGCCAGAACGAGCGATATACACAACAATTCCCAGCAATGGGTATAATATAGTTTATTACATGACCTATATACATAAATAGTGATACATAAAATATAATCTGCAGAATTCTGATTTCATTATCTCATTAGGCCAATATACTTTTAACATTTTAATTTTTCCTTCGTGTTTACGAAGATTCCTTGGACATAAACATCCGGGTCATCTTCTGTTTTTCCACTCATGCGTGATAGCGCTTGGTAGATTTTTTTCGTACAATCGTCATACCACCGCATAGAAAATCATTTGTTCATATGCAAAACGACAACATT